ATTAAGCCCGTCTAAGGAGAGGGGAGGGCCCCTCCCCTTTAGCTAAAATGCCAATGGATATCATCGTTTATTTTTTGATAATAAACATTTACTTCTCTCCCCACCCCTCCCCACCCTTTTTTTTCCTGCTAGGATGAACTTGACCTTACGGATAAGCACAGAGAAGCCATGTTTGCCCTACCAGCAGAAAAGAAATGGCAGATCTATTGCAGTAAGAAAAAGGTAAGACCTTTGAAGTATGCTTCCTCCACGTTACAGGTAGTCTTCGACTTATGACCATTCATTTAGTGGCCATTTGAAGTTACAAGATACTGAAAAAGTGACCTTGCATTTAAAACCATCACAGCGTCCTCGTGTCATGTGATCAATGTTTGGGCGCTTGACAATTGACCTGTATTTACAATGGTTGCAGTATTCTGGGGTCACGTGATTGCCATTTGCCACCTTCCTAGTCAGCTTCCGACAAGCAAAGTAAATTGGGGAAGTTCAGATTCGCTTTGTGACATGATTCACTTAACAACTGCAGTGATTCACTTAACCGTGGCAAAAAAGGCAAAATAGTTAAAATTTGGCATGGCTGCATAATAACTGCCTGGTCCCAATTGTGATCATGAGTCAAGGACTACCTGCATTTTTTTTTCCTTTTTATACTTTGGCTCCTTTTTTTGACACAAGATAGAAAAAACTGGTGCAAAATGCTTTTGAATCAGTTTGAAGAAACAGGAGGAAATTTATTCTGGCCTGCAAATGCATAGACCAGAACATAAGATTCCAAATTAGGATGATTATTTGTATCCTGGGAGTTTATTCACAAATGTAACAAAATTACATTACAATGATTTAGCATAATAAAATCAGATGTTAAAAACATATGTAAAATTCTAATGAAGTAGCATATAACATAAATCACTCTGGGCATAATATTTATTCTATTCATTCTTCATTGCACAGATGTAATTCTGTAGCATTTTGTCTAATAGCTGCAATACAAAATTTAGCTACATTAAATATCACATTAAGCATTGTTTGGCAAGAGAAAAGCATCATATCTAATGGTCCTGGCATATCTTCCAACAAAGCTCCTTTTAAAAAGGAAAGAGCTGCATGCATATTGACTGCTTTTCACCCCATATTTCACCAGTTAGAGAGGGATTTAGCTAGGTTTTGTTAGCTTCAACTTTGATTAGATGTTTGGGGGGACTTGTGTATGTGTGTTTAATGGGAGGTAGCATGTGGTACAAGCTCATCCTATCTGATTAGTTTAAGATCTAGTGCATTAGGTGAAACCCCAAAATAGATTAATTCAATGACCAGATATGCACATATGAGAACACAGCCATTGGGAAATAATGGCGGTGCATCAAGAGTTGCTTCAGCAGTGAGATGGGTGGCAGATAAATTTAATCAATCGATTTAATTTAATTTCCTTTTGTCTGTGGGCTTCCTTAGAGTTGTGCTTCAGACTTGATCCCCCAAAGGTGCTTTGAAGTGCAAAGGAAGACAAACATATCTCTAGTTTGCAACCCTTTAAACAGCCATACTTTCTGCTGGAATTATGCAATAATTATGAGAGGCCCTCAGGCAATTGTGAGGAAAGATCCAGTTCTTTTAAAATATAGGAGACAAATGCTATATTTGCACTCTCACACATTCTGAAACACTTTGGGGAGAGTGAATCTGAATTGTTACATTCCTCTAGTATCCTTGTTCCACATTCTTTTGCTTCTGTACTGAACACTTTTTAATGGAAGACCCTGCTGTTTCGGGATTGTGTTCAGAGAATGGAAAACTCTTGGAATCTCGCGGAATAAAAATATCTTCCCAAAAAATTAATATGATTTCAGTAGGGAAAAGCAGAGTTTTGTAAAATGCAGCCCTATAAAGGCCAAATGTTTACTAATGCCATGTATGCTGTTCATATTTCCAGGGGCTAATGTAGCATAAATGAAACATAGTTATGCTTTGGAGGAAAAGCAAAACAATCACATTGCCAGTTTTCATTATCAGTTGGATTTAATACAATCTGTATTGTCTCTGATTTGAAGGGGGGAAGGCTTGTATACATAGTTGACTGGCAAGCCAAGAGCAACTCAGCAAAAAATAGAATTTTGGTTTGGAAAGTAAGTTATAAATATATCATTTATCTATTTTCTGAGACAGACCATTTGGGTCATAAACCATCAAAACGTATTAGGATCTGCAAAGAGTGAAACATTTGTAGAGGAAAGATGGATGAAAATGGGAATAGTTGTTTCCAAGAATTCAGAATTCAGGAAGGGAAAGATTTGTTGAAATTTCAGCATAAACAACGGAATAATTTAATGTAATCTGGAACAAAAACAGCTCAAGAACAAGACCCATTTTACAGGGGAATGAACCTTTTAGAGCAGAGTTTCCAAACATTGGCGAGCTGTAGATCTGTTGCCTTCAACTCCCAGAATTCCCCAGCCAGAAAAGGAGATGAAATCCACACATCTTCAACTTGCCAAGGTGGAGAAATACTGGCCTAGAGAAAGTATGGAAACATCTTTGTTAGAAGTTTTTTCCAAACAAAAAATAGGCGTGTTTTTAGCACATGTTTCAGCTGTAGATCAGGGAAAGTTTTTAGGTCAGGACTTCCCTGGTCTTATGATTCCTGTGATTCTCTGAACAACATGACTCATCATTCCTGATCATTTGCCATGCTAGTTTGGAA